TAAACTATCAGGAACATCTTTTCTAGGAATGTTATCAACTCTTCTTAAAAAGTGGTTAAGTTCTTCTTCTGTTTGTTTATCAATTCCATTCATAGAATTTATTTCAAAACGGTCTTGAGTAAAGTCAATTGACTTTGGTCTTTTGTTGACTATAGTCCTAAGTCCAAATAATTTACCAACGACAATCCATTTTAAATTACCTAAGTCTTCAAGTATTTTTTCTTTTATTAAATTTAATAATACTGTTGTTGTAAAACGTTTGTTACGAATGATATGTTTATTAAATCTAATAGGAATTCTATCAACATCCATTTCACGTGCTTGATATAAGAGTCGTAAGATTAATGAATGTTTTGAAGGTTTTTTTGTTGTTTTTCCAATAGAAGTATTAATATCAACTGTATTAATAATAGCGTCTTTAATAATTAATCTTAAAGAGTCATTATCATCAGTTTTAGAGTTGTTTGTAGGAATTAAGAAAGGGGGATATTCTTCTAAAGTTTCAAGGATATGCTGTAAAATATCTGGTTCAATAAGAATTTCTAATGGTTGAATTGTAAAACTTGCTTTTGAAATACAACGTAACTGAAGAATATTTCCTTTTGTTGGAGTAATTAATAATAATCCAATATGAAAAAATGATTTATTTGGATCATAAATCCAATCAAGTGGTCTTGGAGAAATAATAACTGGATTTTTTAATATATCTAATGATTGAAAATCTAATTGAATATAATCAAATTGCATTTCTAAACCAAGATGTCTATCTGTTCTAACAATTTCTAATAAAATTGATTTAATATTTAATGATAATTCTTCTTTTGCATTTTTTCCAAATAATGAAATACCAAATGAAGGAAGACTTAAATCAATATTCCATTTAACTTGTTCTTCTTTTCTTTTATTTTTATCAATTGTAATAATACTAAGATTTCCTTCTATTTCTATTGAAATGATATTTGAATGAATTAAATATTCTTTTTCAATGTCAAGAGGATCAATAATACAACCATTAATTAATAATTTTCTTTCTTTAATTGGATTAATCCATGCAAATGGTAAAGAGTGATAAGGAAGTAATTTTATTTTCATATTACAACCATATTGACTAATAATATAAGAGTTATTTGTTTTATTATCTAATCTTAAAAAAAGTTCTTTACATCCATAAATATTTGTATAAAAACTTCCTTTATTATTTTCTGTTTGAATAGTAAATATTTTATATGATTCAAATGTTTTCATAAGTATTTGATATTCATTTGTTTCATTTACTTTTATTGGAACACCATAATAATCAATTATCCCAATAGTTATTATATTTGAATGAACAGGAGCAGATTCATTTGGTGCTAAAGTTATAATTTTGTTTTTGTATTTTAATTTTAATGTTTTAGTTGTTGAATTTGTAATTATAAATTGAGGTTTAATACTTATTTTTAATGAAGAACTTAGTTTATTCATAATTTTAAAGAGAGTAATTGTAGCAATAAGTTCTTGATGATCTATCGTAAGGTATTTAGTTTCTCCAAGACTTAAATGAATAGGATCTTTAAATGGTTCATTAATAGTGCGTTGAATTAATTCTAATGAATTAGTATTTTGATTAAAAGGAGCATATAAATAATATCCTTTAGTGGAACTAATTGTTCCAAAATCATTAATAACAAGAGGTAAAAGAGTTGAATTTTTAATATAAAAAGGACAGTCAAATATTATAGTATGATCTTTAATTGATTGTTTAAAATGATATTTCCCAATAATAAGTGAAGGTAATTCCTTTGTTGAAGAACAATAAGAATTTATTGAAGATTGAACATGTTTATCATCAAAAACAAAACCATTCAATTGGTCAACTACCATAACAGAATAATAAATTGTATCATTATAACCAATATCATTAAAACTACCAGATGAGAAAGGTTGTATAATAATACAAGAATATTTTTGATTTATAGAAGTATTTAAATTTGAATGATTTAATATATTTAAAGAAGAAGAAGAAACATTAATATTATTTTTATTATTCAATTGTTGAAATATATTAGGATTTGAAACAAAAGTACTTTGATGAGTAATAAATATAGATAACGTTAAAGGTAATTTATTAATAAAAGTGAATGGTGGTACAATTTGAATAGTAATTGGTGTAATAAATTTATTTTCTGATTTTAATTTTTCTGAATATTTATATTTTAATACAAAAGACTTATTATTAATAACAAAAGGAGTAATTGAATTCATTATGAAGAGTTCATTATCTTCATTATTTATTAAAGAATATTCAAAATTAAAATTTTGAATTATTTTTTCATTTTCTGGAAGAGAAATTGAAAATGAAAAAGGTTTAATACCAATTATTGGAGTAAATGAAAGAGGAGAATAAGTAGAGAGAAGAGATGTATTATTTATATTTATTTTTAATGGAATTTGAGTTTTATTTTTAAATATAACAATAGAAGAAATACAGACCATTTGAATAAATTTATTATAATGAAATTTAATAGTGATATATCCATAAATATTTCCATATTGTTTTAAGTTATAAACAAATTTATTATTTCTATTTTTTAATGAAATAACAACATTAATTGGATCAAATGTTCCAATTAATATACTTACATTTCTTTCATTAATAAGAGGAATTTCTAATGATTTATCTTTTTCAATAATGAAAGATTGATTTTTTGTATTAAGAATTAATTGTTCACCAACTCGGTTAATAATTTTTGATATTCCTTTATTTTTATAATATTCTGTGTCAATAGTTTTTACCCAATGTTCAAATAATTGATTTAAAGTTAATATAAATTCTGGTGTAATATTTAAAATTAAAAATTTATTAGGACTAATATCAATTTTAAAATGTGGTATTAAACATTTTCCAGTTATATTAAATGGTTCAATTAATGGTTCAATTGTCCATTTTTTCTTTGAAGTATTAGTGTATTTAATTCCTGTTTGAATTATATTAAAAGATAATTCTTTTTCATTTAATTCAATAGAAAATAATTCTGTATTTAATATTAATGATTTACAACTTTCAATAATATCTCCTTCTTGAGATATAAATTCACTTGATAAAACAAATTCTATTTTATTAATATTAAAACTAACTATTAAATTTGGAAATATAAATCTTTCATTTTGTTTTAATGGTGCTTTAATTTTTTTATCTTTTAACTCTAATCCTTCTTGACTTAATTTTAATTTGCTTAAATTATTTTCTTCTTCAGGAACAGTTAAAATACTTTGAATACTTTCTTGAAATTCTTTAATAAGTTTAATTGTAGTATCCAAATCTCTATTAGAAAATTCAATATTAACACAGTCTAATAAAAAACTAATATTAGGAAGTGTTAACATTCTTAATGAGGAGCTAAATGTTTTAATGGTTGTAATAGGAATGATATCTTTTCTTTTAATAAATTTACTAAAAATACAAAAATCATTACTAAATAATGATATTGAATCTATTAGTCCATTTTTTAATACTACACTTCCTTCTAATGAACCACTTAAAGTTAAAGTATTTCCTTCATTATTTTTAAATACTAATTTACTTTTAATAAGATTAAATAAAATATTAAATATTAATTCTTCTTTATTTCTTTCTTTATTTTCATTTCTTTGTAATACTAATTTATTAAAAGAATTTTCTTTTCTTTCATTCAATTTACTATTTATGGAATTAGTTAGACAATCATTATTAGTGTTATTAGTGTTATTGTTATTTTCTTCACTTCTTGATATTATTTGTGTTAATTGTTTAATAACATCTTTTAATGAATAAAGTAATCGCTTAATAAATTCAGGTGCAAGCAATAATGTTGGTGTAATACAATCTATTTTACATGTAGACTCTTTTCCATAATTGTATTGAATTTGTAAACACTCTTCTTTTCCATCACATCCAAAACATTCTTCTTTCTTTTCAATATCAGTTATTCCTAAATTTCCAATTCCAATTTGTATAAATTGTTTTGTTGTATCAATACTTCCTTTAAATATTTTAGCTTGAAATTTAGCTTTTGAAATTGTTAGGTTAACACCTTTTGCTTTTATGCTAAATCTAATTCTTGTTTTTTTCATTTGTATATTTCTTCAAAAAATTCTTAGTTCTTGTTCTTCTTTCATTATTTAGTTCATCAACTCAATTTATTTGTTTTATATTTTATTTACTTTTATGTTATATTTATTCCATTTTCTTCATCATTTTTTCTTTGATGGATT